TTTTTTTTTTTTTTTTTTTGGTCTTTTTGTCTTTTTTTGTGACCGGCAACGGACCGCAACCTTCAGTGTTGCGCCCGTACCGGGCCGGGACCGGCTACGGGATCGCAACCCTCGGCATTGCCCCCACTCCTCGCTCAGCCAGTGAGCGGCCGGTCCGTACGTGGGATCCGAACCCTCGGCGGGAGCGCCACCACGCTTCCCAAGCGGCGCACTGTAGCAGTGTGCCACCGGGCCGGCCTTAACCTTTTTAATAAACTTTTAACATCTTGCTTTGCATTTTTTGTAGCTATCCTATGTAGTAACCATATAATTCATTAATTTTCCCAGTTCCCTATTTAATATTTAAATTGCTTCCAGTTTTTCATTCTGAGTAAATACTCATGAATGTCTTTGTACATGTAGTTTTAAAATTTTTTTGTATTGATTCCTATAAATGTTATTGTTTGGAAACTATGAATATTTTTGACTATCAATACAACTCTGCCTAATGTCTGTTAAAATTGTTATGTACATTTAAAACAATTATTTTTACATGTGTGGCTTAAACAGTAGTAAGTCTTACTGTGCTGAATCATCTGTTAGGAAACAACAAGACTTGTCCATTTTCGAGTAATTGGATTTAACTTCTTGAGTTAAAAACAATTATTTTTACATGTGTGGCTTAAACAGTAGTAAGTCTTACTGTGCTGAATCATCTATTAGGAAACAACAAGACTTGTCCATTTTCGAGTAATTGGATTTAAATTCTTGAGTTAGCAGAATTTAAAGATAAATCTTTTAAGTTTTGCTTTATTAAATTATATAAGACAAGTAGAAGGTTAAAGGAATCTTTTTGTTTTGAGCTTTGTTGAATATGTGGGCTTTGAAGGAAAGCTGATCTCAAGAATCCTTAATCCTAGTTGTTTGAGTTAGATTTATAGAGACAACTAAAGACCTAATTTTAATTCCTGATAAGGTTAAGAGACTATTTTACTTGAAATTTAAATTCCTTTCTCCTAATGATTTATTGGTGACAGGTATAGCTGGATTTTTATGTCTGTATTTTCTGATGTCTATAAATAATGGTTAGTGAGACTTTAAGTTTCTATTTAACCTTGATATTTGAAATGATAAGAATATCAATTGTATCAGGTTTGTTTTGGCCAAATATAAATTATTTCCTTTATATTTTACCCCAGAAGTATGAGATAGTTTTCCTATGTCTTCCATTTTTCATGTAGTCTTTTTTATTTGTTCAACTTCTTTATTCCCCAAGCAAATGGGAGTGCAGATTTCTGATGGAACTAAAAAGTGATGTTGCAATTTAGAAATCTTGGGACAAAAATCTGGAGTCTGGGTTTTGCCCCTATAAGCTGTTGTGGCGAGTTATTTTTTCTTACTGTTCTTCTGTTGACTTAATTATAAGAGGAGTATGAAGATACCATAAATAAGTATGCTGTACATTTGGTACTACTTATTTCTATTAACGATGCTTTGGAGTTTTCAAAGGGGATAAGGTATGTGGAGCTTTCACATAATATTATCTTGTTTGATCCTCACAACAAGCTTGTTAGTTTATTTCTTCAGTTATTTAGGAATGATGTGTCATATAGTCTGCCAGGTGCTAGGGATGTAGTGGAAAACAAGAATGACAAGGTCATTGCCCTCATGGAGTTTGTATTTTAACAGGGAGATACAAACAAGAAAAAAAAGGTTACTAGTTATGATGATACCTAATGAGGGAGTAATGGGCAGATGTGTTATTGCCCCTTTATACATGTAGATGAGGAAACATTGTAACTCTTAACTCTGGTTGTCTGACTCATGATTCAGTGCGTTTCCCATTAACATGTAACTATGAAGGCATTTTTTAAAAAACGTAAGAGCTATCCAGGATGCCAGTAATAGTTTATTATTTTTGAATCTGTAAGTTAATATATTGAACTTTAAAAAATGCAGTTGTGTGTATAGGAGAAAAAGACTGAATGGAATGGTGTTGATATGATGTTAATAATAGCTATTACGTATTCATTTCTAAGTGTTTTATGTGTGTTGTCTCATTTAATGCTTACAACAGCTCTTTGAGGCAGGGCTTATTATTATTCCCATTTTACAGGTAAGTAAACTGAGGCACAGTGACCTTAACAACTTAACCAAGATCACAAAGCTAATAAGTGGCCAGAGTGGGGATTCAGATTTAGGTAGTCAGACATCAGAGTTCATACCCTTAACTCCTATGCTAAACTGCCAAAATGATTAGTACTTACCTCTGGAGGTGAGATTATGGGTGATTTCAGTTTCTTCTGTTTGTTTGTCTTTCTCTTCTAAATTTTTTACGGTGACTATGGATTAATTTGTAATTCTAAAGTACTAAACTCAAAGCAAATAGGCAGTAGCCATGGGTAGATAGAGAATATTGACAAATATAGTAAAAAAATGAAAAAAATGTTTATTGTTTTGTAAATTCTTGTGACATACATAAGTGCCTAATACCTCAAAAAAAAAAAACAAAAACACCTTTTTTTGTGGTTGGCCAGTATTGGGAATAATAGACTTTTATATTTATATTTTTCTCTTTTTAAAAAGTAATACAAATTTATATACAATTTTTATTTGTTGATCAAAAGACATAAAAAAGTAATAAATGGTTTTTATAGGAGATAGAAAAATATGAATAGACATAAAGGTAGAAAATTAAAAGTATCTGACTTTTCACTTTTGTCATCTATATTTTTACACTGAACAATAAGAAACATTTAAATAACACTTTCAATGATTGTGTAATGTTTTATTATTATATTGTACTTTTTGTGGTATAATTTATATACAATAAAATTAAGCTATTTTAAGGTACAATTCAATGAGTTTTGACAACTCTGTGCAGTCTTTTAACCACAACCACAATCAAGATTTAGAATGTTTCAGTGATAGATTTCTATCATCCCAACAAGTGTCCTCATGCTGCTATGCAATCAGTCCTCTTGCCCTAACCTTTGTACTCTGGCAGCCATTGGTTTCCTTTCTATCACTATAGTTTTGCACTTTAAACAGAATTTTGTATAAACAAAATAATTTGGTACGTAGTCATTTGTGTCTGGCTTCTTTCACTTATAATGCTTTTGAGATCCATTCATGTTGTTGCAAGTATCAGCACTTTATTTCTTTTTATTGCTGAGTAGTATTCCATTGTTTGAATATAACACAATTTGTTTATCTACTTGGCCTCTTGATAGACATTTGGTTAGTTTCCAGTTTTGGACTATTATGAATAAAAGTGTTATGAATACTCACATTTAGGTCTTTGTGAGGATTTATGCTTTCATTTCTCTTGAATAAATACCCAGGAGAGGAATTGCCGAGTCATATGGTAACAGTATGTTTAACATTATTAAAAGCAGTCTTCAAAATTATTTTGGCTATTCTAGGTTCTTTGCTTTTCTATATGAATTTTATAGTCAGCCTGTCAATTTCTACAGTTAAGTCTGCTTCAATTTTGGTTGGGATTGCATTGCATTGGATCTATAGATCATTTTGTGGAGAACTGACATTTTAACAATATTGAGTCTTTGGATCCTTGAGTATGATATGTCCCTCCATTTAATTAGGTCTTTAATTTTTCTCAGCAGTGTTTTATGGTTTTAGATGTACCAGTCTTACACCTTTTTCTGTATTTCAAGTTTTTGATCTACTGTAAATGATACCAATTTTTAAAGAATATCTATGTCCAACTTTTCATTGAAAGTATTGACTTTTTTTTTTTTTTTCCTTTTTGTCTTTTTTACTGACCGGTAACGGGATCGCAACCCTCGGTGTTGCGCCCGTACCGGGGACTGGCAACGGGATCGCAACCCTCAGTGCTGCGCCCGCACCGCGCTCAGCCAGTGAGCGGGAACCAGTCTCCACATGGGATCCGAACTCTCAGCGGGAGCGCTGCCACGCTCCCAAGCGGCGCACTCTCCAGTGCGCCACTGGACTGGCCCGAAAGTATTGACTTTTTAATATTGATCTACCTATTTTGCATTCCTCCAATCTTGCTAAACTTCCTTATTAGTTCTAGGTCCTTTAGATTCTTTAGGATTTTTCTACATAGATGATTAAGTTGTCTGCAAATAAGGGAGTTTCACTTTTTCCTTTCCAACCTATACCTTTTATTTCTTATTCTTGCCTTTTTACATTGACTAGGACTTCCAGTACAATGTTGAATGGAAGTGGTGAGACGAGATATCCTGATCTTGTTTCTGACTGTAGGGGAAAACATTCAGTCATTCACCACTAAATAGCTGTAGGTAGTTTGGGTTTTTTTAAAAAATGAGTGTTGTTCATAGGTTCCTTTATTTATTTATTTATTTTTTATTGTTATGTATATTAAATAAAATACAAATATATTTCCCCTTTTTAGCCATACGGTAACACGCAATTTGCAGTTTCTATATCTACTTTTAAAAAATTTAGTGATATATCCTATTGGTGATTTTTTTTCCCTTCCTTTTCCTGATTTATCAATTTTATTAGTCTTTTCAAATAACCAGCTTATTGAGGCCTATATTGTGGTCCAGGCGTAATCTTAGCAAATATACCATTTGCACTTGAAAAGAATGTATATTCTGTGATTGTTGGATACAGTGTTCTATAAATGTTTACTTGATTTTTCTCTGTTGTTATCTGTTTTCTGTATCATTGATTTCTGCTCTTTATTATCTTCTAACTTCTACTTACTTTAGGTTTAGTTTGCTTTTCTTTTTCCAGCTTCTTAAGTCGGAAACTTCAGTTATTGATTTTTAAATCTTTATTGTTTTCTAAGGTAAGCATTTCGTGGTGTACATTTTTCTCTAAGCATTGTTTGAAGTGTATCCCATAAATTTTGATATATTCTGTTTTCTTTATTATTTCAGTCAAAATATTTTTCTTTTTTCTTTTGGTAGCTGGCCAGTATGAGGATCTGAACCCTTGACCTTGGTGTTAAAAGTATTTTTTGATTTCCCTTGTAATTTCTTTTTTGACTTATGGGTTAAACTAAGTGTGTAATTTAATTTCCAAATATTTGGGGATTTTCCATTATCTTCTTGTTGATGTTTTCTAATTCAACTCAGTGGTTGTCATAGAATATGCTTTGTGTGATTTTACTAGTTTTATAAATTCATAAAACTTTTTGGAACCCGAGGTTATTTGATTGTAAAATTAGGGAATTAATTGAACCTTTCAGTCAGTTTTCCTCCTTATTTCAGGTGAGAGATCAAGCCCAGCGCTATTCGCGGGTTCTCCTGGATATTGAGGCTGGTGCTCCTGTTCTCCTTATCCCAGAAAGTTCCAGATCAAATAATTTGATTGTAGCAAATTTGGGGAAGTTGAAAGTCAAGAACAAGTTTCTCTTTGCCGGTTTTCCTGGGACCTTTTCCTTACAAGATAAGGTGAGCAATCAATATCCATTCCCTTTTCAGTTCAACTAGTATTTGAACACTAATTGAAAAATTCATATGCTGCCAGAAGAGTATCCCTAATTGCTGTTACTTTTTTAGGATATGTGGTTTGAAGAATACTTTTAAAAAAAAATTTCACTGACCTTTCAGTTTACCTTTTAAATTAAGGTAGTGTAAGTTATAATCCTTACTAACTGTATATAGTAACTTGTTTTAGCAAACAAACCAGTGGGACCAACCTTCCAACTTTTAATAGTACTTTCCTTGTATAAAAGCATTCCTTCTATAATATCAACTTTTTATACTCTATGGCTTTTTTCAGAGGACATGATTTGGCCCATTGTTTACCTGAAGCCATTTAAAAATATCTTAATAAAATCTTATACAGTATATTGTTTTACAGTTTTAAATTACTTTTCCATTTATTTATTTCTCACAACAATATTTGGAGTTAATCAGAATGAGGACTACTGTTATGAGTATTTTCATTTTACATTTGCAAAAACTGGGACCCTTTGAGAATAAACAAGAAAAATGGAAACACCTAGGTAATCACAGACTCTTAAAGCTGAGAGGACCTTGGAGATAGTCTAATTAGTCCCTTTCCTCCCATTTTTTATTTGAGGAGACCGAGTGACATTTCTGTTTGTTTTTGTTTTGGCGGCTGGCTGATACTGGAATCTAAACTCTTGACCTTGGTGTTCTCAGCACCATGCTGTAACCAAGTGAGCTAACTGGCCATTGAGTGACATTTCTGGAACTATAGATGAGGTCTTGTCACTCTTGGTGTGTGTTTTCATCATTACTTGCTGGTTTCCCCAGCAGCTTTTCATTCTATCTGCTTGTTCAGTGCAGAAAAACACTGAAATTTCCTGGTAGTTATGCCAGTTTTTTGTTTTTTTTTTTAAAGATGACCAGTAAGGGGATCTTAACCCTTGACTTGGTGTTGTCGGCACCACACTCTCCGAGGTGAGCGAACTGGCCATCCCTATGTGGGATCTGAACCCATGGCCTTGGTGTTATCAGCACCACACTCTCCCGAGTGAGCCACGGGCCAGCCCCCTTATGCCAGTTTTTAGTCTGACAGCTGATAACAGAGGGAGAGAGAGAGCCTTTGAGAAGATTTACATCATATTTGATTGTAAGATCTCAAGACTGACAAAAATAGCAATAAATAGCTGATAATTGTTGGATGCTTATTATATATCAGCCTGTGCTAAGCTCTTCACATATAGAAGGAAACTGTTTCTTCCACTCACAATACTTATGACACTAAATGGGTGGGTTTTTTTCCCCATATCAAGCATTCTCCCACTCTCTGGATACCAACTGGGCATCCTACATTCAATTATGGTACTATCTGAAGTTAGCACAGATCCCACAGGTTAAGGGCTCAGTTCTACCAGTCACAAGTCTGGGTCTCCTATACTTACTTATGACTGACCAGCTATAAATTAGGGGTTCCCACAATCCCCTCCTTATTTTCAGTAATTTGCTATAATGGCTCATAGCACTCAGGGAAACAAATTTACTGGTTTATTATAAAGGTTATAATAGAGGATACAGATGGACAGACAGATGAAGAGGCATACATATAGGGCAACATCCAGTAGGGTCTGGAACGCAGGAGCTTCTGTCCCCATGGAATTGGGGTATGCCACCCTCCTGGCATGTGGATGTGTTCACCATCCTGATAGCTCTCTGAACCCTTTCTAGGGTTTCCATGGGAGTTCCATTTTGTAGGCATGATTAATTAAATCATTGTCCATTGGTGGTTAAGGCAATCTCTTGCCCCTTTTCCCTCCCAGGAGGTTCAGGGAATGGGGCTGAAAGTTCTAACCCTCTGTGACTTGGTTGGTTCCTTTGCTAATCAGCCCCCATCCTGAAGCTATCTAGGGGCTTTCAACCACCAGTCATCTCATTAACATACAAAGAGATACTATCCTAAGGGTCTTAGAAGCTCTGATGTTCCTATCACCCCTATCACTCAGGAAGTTATAGGAGTTTTAGAAGCTCTGTGCCAGGAAATGGGTGTGGAGACCAAATATATATTAAATTACTATGTCACAGCACATTTGTTCATTTTGTTCTCATTAGCAACCTAAGAGGGATCTAGTGTTTTAATACCATTTTTTCAGATAAAGAAGTTGAGATTTAGAAAGATTAAGTAATCGCTTGTAAGCTAGTAAGGTATACATTGTGGACCTTAGACTTTGGTGTGTCTGACTGGCTTCAGTACTCCATGATATGATTCCACCTCTCAGTATTAGAGTTAGGTTTATGTGAGGAAAGTAAACTGGCAAAGGCTATTCCTGGTATATGTCTATTGGCCTTTTCCTGAACAGCTGTAGCTCTTTTGAGTTTACTAAAGAGTATGGCAGTGAGTTCATGAAAATGACCTAGATGAAAGCACTGAAAGATGATTACAGACAAAATTTGGATGGGGCCGGCCCGTGGCTCACTCGGTAGAGTGCGGTGCTGATAACACCAAGGCCCCGGGTTCGGATCCCATATATGGATGGCCGGTTTGCTCACTGGCTGAGCGTGGTGCTGACAATACCAAGTCAAGGGTTAAGATCCCCTTACCGGTCATTTTTTAAAAAAAAAAAAAAAAAAAAAAATTTGGGCAGGTGTTGTTCACCTAGGTGTTGAAAGAAGAGAAAATGAAAGATAGACTAGAGTGGCAGTCCTTACTAGGACTTTGCCTGGGACCTCAACTAGGTTTAGAAAATAGTAGGGAGTCTCTATATTTGTTGGCAATGCTTGAACTTGGATAGTGTTATTGTTATAACAATAGTAAAATTACTGTCTCTGTATTTTTCTTCCTTTACTTCTCACTCACTGATTGACTCATTATTACGTGTGCATTGTTTCGTTTCAATTTTTGGTGGCTGGCTGGTATGGGGATTGAAACCTGGACCTTGGTTTTATCAGCACCATGCTCTAACCAAATGGGCTAACCAGCCAGCCCAGACTCAATATTACTAACCTGATCATACTGAACCAGAAATGTTTGATTTAGTAAGTGGGAAGGGGTAGAGTAAGACAGTGAGAGCCATATGAACCATGTTCATATATGATAATCTTGGGTTCAGGCCCAGAATGTGGTGTTTGGACTAAGGGTTAGAGGGCAAGTTGTCCAAACTTCATTTACAGCCAGCTGTTCTGATAAACCAGATTTAGTGATCACTTGCAAGAAGCAGAGGGTAAAACCAAAACAGCAGTGTCTAGCAGTGCGAAAGGTAGCACATTACCAGGTACATGCCTGTTTTATAGGTTATCTTCAGACAGAGGGCTGGTGATTGGTAACTTGCTCATTTACCTTGCCTCAGGAAACCTTTGCAATGATTTATGTGCCCTCCTGTTGGAATAATAGGCCTTACTGCCAGAGGCCGCCTTGAAAAGGAGAAAGAGACTTCCACTTATGTGTATTTTTTAAGAGAGTGAAAGCAAAATCACCCACCACTGGTCTTTCGCAGTAGGCCTAGTAGAGAACTGGTAACCTTGGCCTTAATGAAGAAAATCTATTTTCATAGTTGATAGATAACCATTTTCCTGTTCATTCACTAGAGTCGTAAAGAACATAAAAGAAGTATTTATTTATAAAAAGAAAGATTAGTAACTGCTTTTAAATATTCTTATTCTCTTTTCCCTAGTATGAGGTATTTATAAGTAGTGTGATTAGATTTGTGTTTATTAGAATTTGTGTTTGCACGTGAATATTGTCTCCAGTGTCACCTCAGGATACAGCATCTTTGTTCCAACTCTGCTACCGTTACTGTCCAAGAAAGAGTTCAATTCCTCCTTGGGAATTGTCTTTTAAACCTATATAAGTTTTTTGGAATATATATGTGATAAATCTTTATTTTGAGGCCAGACAAAATTTTTTAGGAAGAGATCAGATATAGCTAGAATGGGTGATCAAGTTCAATATACTATTTTTGTTTCTCTATCCTTCCTAAAAAGGTAATGGGCAGATTTTTCTGTTTCATATATATATATATATGGGCCTATGAGCTGGTTCTGAAGTTGGCCTCAGAGGAAGAATTGCCAAAAATATTTCAAGAAATTTTTGCAAAAGGGTTTCTATTTTGTTAAGGCAAATAATAGCACCTAGTTTATAACATCTTAATGAAAAAATTTTCCTGTATTTGTTTTTGAGGATTTGATTTTAAGTGGGAGTGCATACAAGGATCGCTTTTTCTTCAAGGTATAATATATGGTTTTGCCTCCTGGTTTTTCTGAAAAACCTTATGGGATTCAGCAGTCAATTCACTTTCATGTCGTTAAAAAGAAAACTAAAACACTAACCCTTTAAAATATTTTATTACTTGGGAAAGCCTGTTATTAGTTTATTTTTTATTTATTTTTATTTTTTATTTTTTGGTGAATTAACTCTCCTTCTGTGTAGAGAAATCCTTCTTAAGGTCCATTAAAAATAATTTCTTTTTTTTTAGCCTGGAGTAGTACTTTCTTGGTGATCTTATTTTATATCCTTAAAGACTAGAAAAGCAATCTTATTACATACTGGTGGTTGTACTGTAGAATTCCATAAGGGCTGCTTGGCGTGTGTTGCATGTTAAAATATTTGTAATCAGATAAGCATATCTGTGAAGTTTACCTCTCCTCATATACAGTCAAACTTAATTATCAGGATCTTTATGGAGTAAATAGTTACCTTCTTCACAGAAGATCACTTTGCATTTGCCCTTTAATACATTTGAACGTGTGAGGTTGCATTCCGGTGGTTAAAGAACAGGAAATAATCCTGAAATCCAAGCTTGCAGAGCAGTCATTTGCCTTCAAGTTCCTTGACTCCTGTGTGTTTGGAATTGTTTTACATAAATACATGTCTTAAAGAGTACAGGTTTGAATTTTTGCATATGCTTTTCTTTCATTTTTCTCAACTATAGCTTGTGCTTAAACCATAATTTCTAAGTCAGAATCTTTCAAAAGCTTTGGGTTAATCTCCTCAAGCCATTGATTTATTTAAACCAACTACAGAGGGGATGTAAAATGAATCAAATGAAAGAGTAACAAATGCCCCCCAGTGTTTAAACTAAGCAAGAGGGAAGGTTTTTAATGCTGAAATACTTAAAATAATAGCATTTACCTAGTAATTTCCCTTGCAAAAAAAAAAAATGTAGAAAGTAAGGAGTGGTTTCTTTTACTGTTACTTGTAATTACTACTCAAGATAACTGTGAAGAAGAGCAATGTTTTCATCTCCTTTACCAAAGCTGAGAGGCATAAGCATCTACGGCAGTGCTGGAGGGAGAACCATCCTCCCCTCCACCCGGCTTGTCCGCTGGAATGGCTAAAGGGGAACAGTCACTGTAGAGATGTAGCTCTGAGGCATGGACGAAGAAACCATGGGAAGTTTACAAGTCAATAATTGGATAGTTCTGGTGAAATAGATTTTTCCCTGTTAGCAATTAACTGAAGGTACTAAGTATGTAAGAAAAGAGTGTAGTATGTATTTTCAGCAAAATTATAGAATGTATTTTATTCTGTACTAGCCCTTCTTAATTTTTATGACCTTGAGCAGAAACATAATAAGAATGGCTAACCTCCTTCGTTTTCCATTTTGTTTTCATTTCCACAGTTACTTAGAGAGAAGAGAAATGTAAGCCCCAGGAAGGGGGACCTCTAGAAAGTGTGAACACATTACCATGGCCAATTCCATTGAAGTCATGTTACCGTTAGATACATTTTCTTAGGACAGTAAGCTTCCTCCCCCACCTAGCAAAGCAGCAGTATATCATATAGCTGAGAAATTTGCTTTTGTTTCATTCGACTAGATTAAACCACTTGAAGCAATTAGCATCTTGGCATCTGCTCTTGAGCCCAAAGATGGTGTCTTCCTGCAAAATGCTATAGTTTTCAATAGGTATTGAATTATATGTAACATCTCAGCAGATAATTATATGTGGCAGTAATGTTATGACCCTGTTACCCTCTTATTTATGGGATCTGGGAGGCTGAGGGAAGTGCAAGTATTATAGTCTTTGAAGATCCTAGAAATTGGGGTAGGACTTCTGGGACATTAAACATATAGTCACACAGCCCCCTCCCACCAACCCCGCCATTGCTGGATTCTAACATTATTTTGTTTTTTCCTAGGAATCTGTGCCTTTAGCTTCCCCAGCGGGTACTCCCAAACACAGTATGAGGAAAATGACAAGCACAGAGGACCCCAAGGGGACCCATTCCCAGGGGCTGTTCATGATGCCTCCTGCTGGAATGAGTCTGGGCAGCCTGAAGAGTGAGTTTATGCCCAGTACCTCCACAAAGCAACGAGGGCCACAAGCCACACTGTGTGTCGGCCAAGTTTCCAGTAGTCCAGGTAAAAGAGGAGGAAAGAACTGCATAATGAAGATGGGGAAATTCACAAACTATTCCAGGAACCTAAGGGGGAGGGGGAATGCACTGTACAGGCAGGTGCCAACAAAGAGATACCATTTCTTTAGTGACGATTGCATTTCGATATTGCTTTAGAAGGCTTAAGAGTCTTAGGTGTAGATTTAGCATTGGATAACTTCTAGAGTAGAGTTAAATTAGTAAGACAGTGTAAATAAAGAGATTTTTAGATCGTCTATTAGGACTTTTTTCTTATAGATCAAGATGATTGCCACCAGATGGTGGTAGTATAAATAGAATGAGTCCTGCATCCTTGCAAGCCACTCTCCAGACACTATCCTAGCAAGTCACTATTTAATTCTAAAAAATAGAAAAGAACCCTTTAAAAAAATATTAGTATGAATTAGGTAACAACAGAGATACTGTAAGCAACAATTTTTAAAAGATATGAACCATTCAGTTATTAGTGCTCTTCTCTTGAATGTGAGAATTAGTCATTCCAAATGAGAACCTAATTTTTGGCTTTTCAGTTTTTAAAGTGTTCTGGATGGGTGATGTGTTGAATAAGAGGTGCTACTTTCTAAGGAGCTGGAGAGGGAAGCAGAATATAATTAGCCACAAAGGTCTGTCTAGTGTAATTGGACTTTGAGAAATGGAGGACACTAGCTGAGGAGGGTGCTGAATGACTTTTCTTAAATAGCGCTGAGGAGTGGTTAACTCCCTGCAGTGCCTTGTAGTCCTAGAGGTGACAGGAAAGTGGTTTATAGTTGTGTTGATGATTAAAGGAGATCATCTTCATCATCATCATAATAGTAGTTCATCTGCATAACACCCCGTAGGGTTTTTTTTTTTAATCCCGACTTTATAGGTGAAGAGATGAAAGTTTAGAGAGATTAAATAACAACTTGGCCAAGTTTATATAGATTGTGTGTGGTAGAGTTGGACTGTGAATTTTGGCAGCCTTTTCTAGAACCTAATTGTTAACCTATGTAATATTGCCTACCAGTCTATATATATAACACATATAGAGCATGGAGCAGGGTGCACCCATGGGTCTCTCAAGAAATGCAACCTGGTGTTAGTGTTGTTGTGATGACACTGATGATTGGGGATAAGGCGACTTTTATAGGTGGATGCCTATAAGAAGTGATTTGGGATATTTTATAGAAAGATCTCTTACTTGACAATGCTTCTCCTATGGATTTGCTATTTGTTTCTGAAATTCTTCTGTTAGGGATATGCTGCCTTGGATTAAGGCAGTGGTTTTTACAGTGTCTCTGTATTCCTAGGATTTCATGACAGTACCCTAGGGAATCTCTAAAGCCTACTTAATTCCTGTGCCTTATTACTCCCTTCTACCAGATCAGCTCCACTTTTATCTGTTCCGTATATTTATCAATGTAAACAACTAATCAAGAACTAATTTATTCAGTGCCTGCTAAGTAGCAGGTGTTATATACAATATTTTGTTCCCTGGTATGTTAATATACTGTTAGGCATGATTCTTGCCACGATGGTACTCATGGACTAATGAGAAATAAATTAAGTAAACATATACATGTTGATAAATTACAGTAAATGTTATCATGAGAAAAACAAGAACAGAGAGGACCCAGTTTAGATTGAGGTGGGAGGGTCATGCCACCAGTAAGACTATGCAGGCAGCAAAGAGCCTGGCATTTTGGAGGAAACCAAGGCCAGTAAGCCCAAAGCTTAGTGAGCAAGGGGGAGAACGGCTTGAGGTACGGTTGGAAAAGTAGGTAGGGGGCTTATGCAGGGCCTTGTAGGGATTTGGGGGAGTTTTTATAGAAAGAATTTTGTATTAAACATAGCCCTTAAAGTGTATAAAGGAAAGGAATGTTATGGTCTATTTATTTTGTTAAGGATTACTCAGGTATTTTGTGGGGAGAATGGTTTCGTAAGGGCCAGAATGGAATTATTATGTAGGTAAATTGGAGCAGAGTTTTTGGTGGTCTAGGCAAGAATGAAGCTGGTTTGGATTTGATCAGCGGTAGTAGAAAAGGTTACATGTAATATTTGTTTGAAAAAAGAATTTTGCTGCTGGGAAAAGTTTGTAAACCTTTGGGTAACATTGTGTCTAGGGAGGGATTGCATATGAAGTCATTTTTAGTATAAACCCTTTATACTCAGTTAGGGTCTCAGGTCTAACCTGAAGGATTGCGTGGCACAGTACATGCTTGGTGTGGAGGGTGGGCAGACAATATGTATTGAACATATGGAGCTGTATGTAGGGAGATCTTGATGCCACAGTGAAGACTTATGGACAGTCAGTTTTCTGAGTAGTTGATAGCAGCAGGAAACAGGCAGTTCCAAACACTTTCCAAAGACAGGGTAAACTTACTTTGACTTTTTAATTTTGTTCAGGGCCAGTCCTTCTTGGGCCCCATTCTCTTCATTATTTCTCTTTCCTTGGGTCCTTCTAGAAGACCATGTCTGTCTGCTGGATTGCATTGTTGTGGATCTACAGGACATGGACATCTTTGCTGCAGAGAGACATCCACGAGAGTACTCGAAGGCCTCAGAGGACAGTAGTGGAGATCTGATCTTCCCCACCTATTTTGTGCGACAGACAGGAGGAAGCCTCTTAACTGAGCCTTGTAGGCTGAAATTGCAGGTGGAAAGGAATTTGGACAAGTGAGTGTTTTATATCTGAGTAATTGTGGTAAGTAGAATCTCAATAACTTGGAGATCAAAGCTATGGAGTTAGATCTGGAAGAGTGATGGTATTCACTTATTTCTTCATCTATTTAACAAACGTTAATATATTGAGTCCCTACTGTGTGCTAGACGTGAGAGCTACTATGATGAAAGAGAAGACTTTTGCCCTCAAGGAGCTTATGTTTTGTTGAGAGATATAGAAAGGTAAGTAGATGGTTCTAATTTAATGTTTGGTACAATGTTATAAACCATTTTATAAGATTACAAGTGCCTGTGAAACAAAGAAGAAGGGACATGAATCTAGCATGGATTTGGGTGGTGATGGGGGAGGTAATGGCGGGCAAAGTATTCTGAAAGAGGTGGACATTTGGATTATGTGTTACAGATAGAATAGATTCTAGACCTGCTATTGCTCTTTATCCTGGAACTTCATTTAACCAGTATAATTATTCAGATGCAGTTTTGCCAATTTCACCCCATTAAGCAGTCTGGAAGTACTCTAAAAAAGACTAATGAACTGGCCCTAATTTACCCTTGTAGTTGGCCTCAAAACACAAGATACATATTTCTGTAGTTCAGAGCATTGCTTCAGTTGTCATTAGTCTCATATATGGCTGGGACACTTCTTGAAATTAAACATCCCCAGACCCTACCTGAGACCACCAGAATCTGACTCTCAGGGCCGAAGCTCAGATGTATATTTAACAAGGTCCTGTGGGCATATTTCTGCTCACTTGGCCCATGTGCTTGGACTGACTGGGAACTGTTGATTATAGTGTATGACATCTCTCAGTTTGGGGGATTGATTTTGGAGAAATTAGCAACATTTTATATGTCAACTCCAGGGAAAGATGAAGTGTGGCTATACAGTAATGAAAGAGATTTTCATTTGTAGCATTTTGGAAAGCAGCCTCAATAGTATAGAGTATGGTTTTAATCACTTTTTGTCCACTCCCTTCACAGTTCTTGGGTTTGGGCAAGTTATTTAACATCACCTTTTTAGTTTCTCTCTGGATTGATGGTACAATTTAGCCGTTCTCATTGGGATGTTTGTCTTACACTCTTACTTGTTATTCAAGTGCTCCCTGGCTGGTGTTCAGTTATGGTTGGCATGGGCTATATTTGGTTTTACTGGCTTAGTAGTCTTAAGAGGAGCTTCATTATTTAGAAATTGAACACTTTGTTTTCTTTTCAAGCAATGCTTTCCCCCCCAAAAATGTGCTTTGCTATTCTGCTTATCTAAACTTTACCCACTCCCATCAGTGTTTATGTGCAGAGAATTATACTGTGTTAGCCCATATAGAAGGTGATACTGAACACAGGTATCCTGTCAGCTTCTCATACCACAGAAATGGGAACCTGAGATGGCACTTGGTACTCTTCTGGTTTTTCTTTGTTGATTGCATCATTGGTCTTTTTAAACCTTATTGTGTGTCGGCTTTTCTCTATAGATAAAGTAATTTTTTATATTCCTCTTCTATTTCAAATCCTAACCCTCTACTTTACATACTCAGAGCATAGCGTCTGTAGGATCTGTGATGCCTATTTTGCCCCCAGGAGGGTGGAGAAAACTCTTTAGTGTTGGCATGAGGTATATATGTTCCCCACCTCCCTGGGCATCTTCAACTTTACTTCTGCTCATCCCAGCTAAGATGACTTACCTATTCAGATTTTATTCTCACCCCATCTGGGCTCAATATGAAATACTGTGTTTTTTTCTGTAGTTACCATCAAATCTGAGGAGTTATATAAAGAGCTTGACATCTTTTCTTCATTGCTTTCCCAGCTATAATGTTTAAGCTATTTCCGAGTCTTGTCAGGTTTCCGTTATTAATAGTTAGCTCATATTAGATTTGAAGATTTTCTAAATGTATTATTTTGAGAGAAAAGGGGCTTTTTGTAGTTGAAGCATGACACTCAGTTATACTAACTTCATTTGGAGACACATGAATTTTTTTTTAAATTAATTAATTTTTTTTTTTTACTTTCTATGATGTTGTGAAGCAGTTGGGAGGAAGGGGGAGAAGGGAAAGGGGAAGGAAATAGGATGGAAGGAGGAGGGGCGGGGTTGAGGCCTGTGGCACCCCCCTCATTCCCACAGGGGAGACCAGGAAGCTTCTAGTGGTGGCTTGGTCATTGCTGGGCTGGGTGCAGATGTCAGGAGGGTGTGGCGAAAGCCCTAGTTACCCGTCACCCCAGCTCAGGAGCCTGGGGCACTTCTTGTGGAAGCTTGGTCGTCTTCACTGGGCTAGTTGCAGGTGCTGCGGGGCATGGCTGAAGCCCTCGGCCCTCCACTGACCCAGCTCAGAAGAGCCCGGGGTGTTTCCTGTGGCAGCTCCATGGTCCTCACTGGGCTGATTGCACTTGTTGGGGGGTGTGGCTGAGGCCCAAGGCCCCCACCCTTGGGACTGGTTGCAGGTGTTGGGGGTCATGGCTGAGGCCCCCAGCCCTCGCCCCTCTCTGGCTTGGTAGCCCAGGGGACTTCCGGTCCTTCTGGGTGTTATGGGTGTTCTTTGGTGATGTGAGACCTTCACTAGTTAATATCAAACTTTGACTCTATATGTGGGTATTTTGTTTTTTTCTTTCAGTTCTGTGTTGGGTTATTTGCTGTTCCCACCACTTAAACTCTGCACTGGAACTAATTTGTTGTCCTTTGCTTACTTCTAAAATGGTGGAACTCCCTGTGGGGACCAGCACTTGGGCTCTGTGGTTGAGCTAAATTGCTGCTTTGCTTCTGATTCCCTAGGGAAGGTTTTTTATGAAGCTCAGGTTTTAATTGTTGACTTTATAAGTACTTCTGGCTCTCATGAGATCTGGTACACCTGGGTTGTGTAGAAACTGGTCTGGGCCTGAGTCTTTCAGCAAACTCCATTCCTGCAGTTCAGTATTCCTGACCAGTCTCCACTGAGTGGTCCTACGCTGATTGGGAGGCAGATCAGCTGTCTTTGTTGTGCTCCAGCATTTCCCCGGTGGACCCATCTCTCCCACTGCCCACGCTCCAAACACTTCCCATGGGACAAACTGTGTGTTAGTACCTTATGATGACTCGCCGGCCTCTGAGTGGCCTCTGAGTGGAGTTGTTGTGGCTCCTCGCTCCTAAGTGGGTCCACGGGAACCTTATTAGTGGTCCTGCTGGCCTGGGGGCCACCAAGGCCCTCTTCTCCCCTGCCACCTCCAAGCAACTTCATCTGAAGGGCACAGCTGCGGCTTTTGTTAGCTCCTGCTCCGTGTGCTCAGCAGCTCCAGCCTGGAAGTGGCCGGGTCTTAAAATGGTCAGAGTGGTTTTTTCTTCCTCTCATTGTGGCTTCTCCCACCTTCATGTACTCCATAGGTCTCTCCTCCTCTTCCCCTGAGCTCTAGTGGCCCCAGCTTGGCTGTCGTTGCTTTTTAATAGTTGTAAATTGGTTGATTTGTGAGTGAGAGTGACACTAGGGACCATCTATTCTGCCATCTTGCGGTGACATTGACACATGAAATTTTTGTCATTGGGAGTTAGCAATTAACTGGTTGATAATGTATGTAGGTGGGTACATTTTAGCTCTTATATTTGGGTATGAGCTGTGTCAGTGTTAGTGATTTGTTTACGAAAGTGCCTTTTTTTTTTTTTTTTTGTAGAGAAATAAGTCATACTGTGCCAGATGTATCTATTCATGGCAATCTCTCCTCAGTCCACTGCTCCCTGGATTTGTATAAATATAAACTGATCCGTGGCTTATTAGAGAACAACCTTGGAGAGCCCATAGAGGAATTTATGCGGCCTTATGATTTACAAGATCCAAGAATTCATGTGAGTGAGACCTTATGTTCTTCTGTAACTCTTATAGTCTTAGCTGATGGTCACCCCATGTATTTATTCCTCAGATTCACCTAGAAAAAGAAGGTAGAAAACAGCAAATTAGATTTTTTGATATATGAACTCATTTTAGGTTGGCATCATCATCAACTGTGAATTGATCAGCATTTTCCTTTTGCAGACCGTTCTGAGTGGAGAAGTGTACACTTGCATGTGCTTCCTCATTGATATGGTAAATGTAAGTCTGGAGCTTAAAGATCCAAAAGGAAAAGAAGGTGCTGGGTCCCTAGCCAGGTATGGCTTAAATTATATTATTTTACTGTTAGTAGCAGTAATCCAAGTAATACACATTTTTTGCATTAGCATACAGCAGAGGTTACAGAATGGTGGTCTGCAGGCAAAATGTGGTCTGCAGAGTGCTTTTTAAAATTTTAATTCATAGCTCTATCAGTGAAGATAGCTTAGGCTATGCTATCATAATAGACAATCCCCAAATACCAGAGACTTAAGACAGTGTACAATGTTTTTCTCTCTTAAACGACGTGTTCATTGTGGGTCTGAGGCTGCTCTGCTCATTTCTTCACTCAGGCTGATAGAGCAACCAGTGTCTTGATGGGCCACAGAGAGAAACAAGAGCTCCAGAATGGTCTTGAATGGCAATTGAATGCTCTGTCAGACCTCCTGGAGCTTTAATGTGGCCCACGTGGTGTGAAGGGGTTAGGCAGTGCCATCTTACTGTGTGTCTGAATAGTTTGAGGGAGGCAGACCCAGAACCATATGGTGAGCAACACTGATGACTGCGTCACTGGCCAACGTTTAAAACATTGGGGGATTTTACATAAGATGTTTGGATTTCAACCTCTTTTGAAAAATTGGAAGCTTTGGCAATACTAGGCCATGTTTTCACTTGGAAACATCTAGAAACTGAGTAGCAACTTCTTCCTTTGGATGGGGCATGTGCTTACCTAGAAGTTCACTTATATCACTTGCTTGGTCAGTGTGAACTTGTGATGACTAGTGTAGAACTTTAAATAGTGCATCATATTTTCACATTTAATAACCTTTTCATTTTGATCTCTTAATAGCCCTGTAAGGTTAGGCAAACATTACTCCTATTTTCCAGGTAGTTTCTGACTAGCATAAGATCATATGGCTGGAAAAGTGGTTTGATATTTGAAAATAGTACTTCAAGCGGGCCGCCCGGTGGCGCACTTGGTAGAGTGCGGCGCTTGGGAGTGTGGTGGCGCTCCCGCCGAGGGTTCGGATCCCATATAGAGACCGGTCCGCTCACTGGTTGAGCGCGGTGTGGGCGTGACACCGAGGGTTGCGATCCCGTTGCCGGTCGCGGTACGGGCGCGACACTGAGGGTTGCAATCCCGTTACCGGTCACAAAAAAAGACAAAAAGGAAAGAAAAAAAAAAAAAAAGAAAATAGTACTTAAAGGCTAGTAATTTTCCTGCTGAAGCACCCTATCTTCTAGTTTGTCTTTCCTTTGAAAGTCTGAAAATAGTACTTCAAGGCTAGTAATTTTCCTGCTGAAGCACCCTATCTTCTAGTTTGTCTTTCCTTTGAAAGTCTGCTGTGGCCTCTGCCCAGCTCTGCTGATGAGAGTGTGGTGTAGTGAAACTGGGTCCCAGATGGATGCTCTGGTTGGCCAGCAATTTTTTCTGATGACTGGCTATGCCCTTAGTTTTTCTCAATATGGCTTAGTTCTGTACGTATTATCACAATGGTACTGAGTAATTATGAATTGCTCATTGCAGCATTCTCTGTTATCAAAAAAAAGGTGGTTCCAAGTGCATTTCCTGTTGGTGGATCAGTTGAGTTATTTCTCTGTGCGAAGAGCATTATCTGTTCTGGTGGTTCCCAGTAAGCTATAGTAGGTCTCACATAAAAATCCAGGCGGACTTTGAAGAGAGAAGCCGCTAGGCCAGCTAGAAGTTGACAGATGGAGTTCTAAAGGGACTCTTGACATCCTTTGGGGATTATTACAAATTTACAGCCTTCTTAGGCTTATGATGGGAAATGGGAATGATAATGAAGAACATGATAAATATGTGATATTGTTATTCCTCATGAAGTTCCTGTGAACAAGATCATTTCTTTGAAACTAGAAAAGATACAAGGTACAATGTCAGTGAATCCATTTTGAGGGATCTGTTAACAAAATCAATGAAAGATCTGAGAATGAAAATATTCTCCTTAATAGAACTTACATATATTTATGATTTTGCTCTTGTTATCTTGAACTTACATAATTTTGTAAAATGGAGAAGTTATGTTTAACATGTTATCCTCCTCTTTTCCTTTTAGATTTGACTTCAAAAAATGTAAACTGCTCTATGAAAGTTTTTCCAATCAAACCAAGTCCATTAACTTGGTTTCCCATTCCATGATGGCTTTTGACACCCGCTATGCTGGGCAGAAGACCAGCCCTGGTATGACAAATGTATTCAACTGTATTTTTCAGCCTTCCAAGAACAGCAGCAGTACCCAAGGATCCATTCAGATTGAACTACATTGCAGGTAGTGGATCCAGACCCTGACTCTACCTTTCTTTATAGAGACATTTCCTTTTGTGGCCAGTGGGCCAAGGTCATGTCAGCTTTAGAACATCAAAGGACCAAGGAATCATGAAAAAGATAAATAGAAAATGGCTTAATGCAGAGTACTGTATATGAGGGGTCTTCAAAAAGTTTATGCAAGAATTCGTATTATCTTTCAATTCCATTTTTCCATGAACTTTTTGAAGTACTCTCATATTAACATAATATTCCCTTAACCTTGCAGTTTCATTTGTTTACCAAAAGATGTCTCTGTTGCGTTAAAAAAAAAAAAAAAAAGTAGTTCACAATTGAAGTGGGTCCTTAAAATCAACCTCCCTGTAAGACTGTTGATTTGTTAAGCAACTTGGGGAAGGAAGAAATTATGTTGGTTTAAGGAAAAAAAAAAACAAAAAACTTTTGGTCTGTACAAATAATGGAAGAGAAGGTGGTTTTGATTTGAATTACCTATTTATTCTAGTCCTGCTGACTCACTTGTATAAAGAGTTTTTACCTTTTTTTCCAGTTATATTTTTCTTTCTGGTATTATGGAAGGAAGCGTTATATGTGGAAAGAGCATATGTTTTAGAATCAGATAAATCTGGGCTCAAAACCTTTATCTACCGCTTTCTAGCTTTGTGTCCTGGAACAAGTTATTTAATGTCTTCGGGTCTCAATTTCTTCTCTTGTAAAATAGAAAAATATAACTATGCCCACTTCATTGGGGTGTAACAAAATAATTCTGGCATACTGCTTGGCACAGATGGTAGCTGTTGTTGTTATTTCTGATGTAGTTTGTGTTATTTTATGATGTAATACTGTGAGATTTTATGACTAAGCCAGCATAGTCCTGAAAACTGAAAAATTAGGTCTGATTTAAAGAAATCCTTCAATGAAAATCCAAAAGGAGACAATGTCAGTTTCATTATGTTAGTGATTCATGTCATCAGATATGTTATAAATATGAATCTTTAGGTAAAAAGGCAGGGAGAAACTTTATAGTTAGGCATAAAAAGAACAAAAGGAAAATCATCAACATTATTCTGTATTTGTGTCTTTAAATATGCGTGACATTTCAATGTGCTGATCAGAATTCCTCAGGGTTTAGAGGTTATTTTTGTTTTGATTTTTTTTTTTTTTGTCTTTTGTCATTTTCCGTGTCTGGCAACGGATCGCAACCCTCAGTGTTGCCCCCGTACCGGACCGGGGACCGGCGATGGGATCGCAAGCCTCGGCGTTGCTCCCGCGCCTCGCTCAGCCAGTGAGCGGGAGCCGGTCTGTACGTGGGATCCGAACCCTCGGACGGGAGCGCTGCCGCGCTTCCCAAGCGGCGCACTATCCAGTGCGCCACCGGGCCGGCCCTGATTTTTGTTTTTTAAGGAAGAAGTGTTGGTCTCTCCATATACCTGTAGGAAGTCTAGCAAAGCAGACATTTAAACTTTTGTATGAACTTCTTACAAGTTAAGTGGTAGGAATGCTAGTTGCCTTTTATTGGGCTCTACCAAGAGCCAGGCACTTGACTCATTGTCAGTTAAATCCTCACAACAAGTCTGCAAAGTGGGTGATGTCTTCTCCGTTTTACAGATGCAGAAATAGAAACTTGGAGAAGGGTTAAGTAACTCTTCTAAGTCACATAGCTAGTAAGGCAAATAGAACTCAAAACTGGGTCTCTGACTTCAAAGCCCATGTCCTTTATAACAGTCCTCAGTCCCACCAGGTGTCTAGGTATTGGGCTGATTACAGTCAGATAAGAAGCTTGTGTTTTGCAATTTTCTTGTTTGAATATGTTTATTTGAACATGAGGCTTGCATATATTTGATCCATCTGCAGAAATAACTTCATTTTGGGTTTGCTTTATTATTAATCTGTTTTCCTAAACTATCATCTAGTTGTCCACTTATCATATTTTTAATATATAGGGAGCCTTGAAATATTACTTTATTTATATACCAAAGGTATATAATTTCTTGGAGTCAAATAATAAAATCTTACCTTGGCTCTTGCTAACAGAAATGCCATTGTTAGTGTGAGGAATAAAATGTTCTCTTGATTGGAACTTTTGAACACTTTTTGTGTCTCAAGAAGAATTACTCTTCTGTTGGGATTTTGTGTGTCAAATATAAATCACTTCACAGTGTTTAAAGGCTTGAAATATTTTCCAGAAAAGGGATTCGACACACTGTGACTTTCCAGTTAGTGCAGAGCTCTGAAAATCTATGTTTAAAATGGGATGGAAAAATTCTACTGAGGGCAACATTTTTTCTCTATTACAAAAGGGTAGAGTGTTTCTGTGAAAAATGCTGTGTCTGTAAGAAGGAGACATGCATCATGATGCCTTTTTACTAAAGGCAGTGAGCCTGGTATAGTAGAAATGAGAGACTGGAGAAACCAGCCTTAGAAATATCTCCAAATAAGCTTTTCTCAAATAGGACCACCTTTGAGAGCAGGGAACCAGGTCCATGTAGTATCTCTCTTTTGGGCTTACAGAAGAAAGTTCAAGCCAGAAAACCGTACAGAAGTGTCCCTAGCCTATGTTTCTTCTGTCCTACCCATTTCTGCCTACTAATATAATAATAGGGCCTGGATAAAGTCCCTGACTGCGTGATGGTTTGAGGCCAGGCCTGAGAATACTCCTTGGATTTTCACTTCCTGTATTGAATTTAGGATAATGGGAACTACAAAACAAGTGCTCCCCCCTCCCCTCAACTCTGCCTCTAGGGTGCTTGGGGGATATACACATGGTAAATATTATCTTATTTGTTCTCCTTTCTCAGGCTAGAAGATAGGGCTGTTAGATCAGTTTCAGCTAGAGAAACCATCTAGTACTAGTATGTAAACTTGGTGTTTATAAAGAAGTGATTTTAGACATCAAAGAGAATGCCTCATTGGTCTTGAAATAGCCTGTAGGGAAGGAGACTGACAATTATCAAACACCTGGTATGTGCCTTGTGTTTCATCTCTTAGGGTATTAATATTCCTCATTTTACAAGTGAGAGAAGGTAGATGACTTACCCGAGATAACTCAACTTGTATTTGATAGTATTTAAGTCTGAGTCTCTGACTTCAAAGCCTGTGCTCTTTCTGCTATACCAGAGTTCCTCAGCTTCAGCATTATTGACATTTTGGGTGAGATATTCCTTGTTGTGGGGCTGTCCTATGCACCGTGGGATGGTTAGCAGCATCCCTGGCCTCTACCCAGTAGATGCCAATTGCAACCCCCAAGTTGTGACAATCAAAAATGTCTCTCCAGACATTGCCAACTATCTCCTGGGGGCAAAATCACCCAGCTGAGAACCACTGGGCTACAATATAATACTTTCTTATAGCATATTCCCTCTTGTTTAAAAATATGATTAACTTTTGGAATGCATACCCTGAGTGTGTTATTAAACCAGCTTTCAGAGTTCATTGATACTCAAAGCTGTCAGTTTAGAAAATACTGGAATACCACTTGCCAAAATTGAGTAATGCATTTGCAGGTTTTGATACCATTTTTCTTTTTCCCTATTTATTTTTTTTTTGTCTTCTTTCTTGTAGATCTACGAAGGATTCCTCCTGTTTTACAGTAGTTCTCAACAATCTCCGCGTGTTTCTCATATTTGACTGGTTATTGTTAGTCCATGATTTTCTCCACACTCCTGGTGATATTAAGAAACAAAATAATGTTACTCCTTCTCGCCACCATAACTCTAGCAGTGAATCTGCTGTAGTTCCCAAAACTGTGAAGAGTGGAATAGTTACCAAGCGGTCTTCCCTTCCTGTGTCCAATGAAAGGCACCTGGAGGTCAAGGTCAATGTAACAGGTGATTATATGTATGTGTCTTACAGGGTGATTTCTCTATTGCCTCTCATTTTTTGATATGAGCATATATACATTTGCATCTTTCACAGACCAACAAATGTCAAAGTTCTTGGCCTCCATTTTCAAGCATGAGTTGCTTGGCTCACTGAAGGCTGTGGGGTCTCTTGTCCCTCTCCTCTCCTGCCTAGTGCATGTGCTCAGCCTGAGCACCCACCTGGGCAGTGGTCTTTTTTCAATTTTCTGTTTGATCTTTAGGGCCCCAACAGATGTGCCTTACTGAGTTTAGACATATTTGGTATGTGAAAATCTCAGTTTTGAAGGTAAACACGAAATGGGATTGTTTTTCTTTACAAAAAGAATGTTGTCCTTTACAGATGGATTTACTATATGGTTTTTATTAACTTGTGAACTCTTCTAGTGCATCCACATGTATGTGTGCATTTATTGTTATGTTTGTGATATCTCCTGCCTACTTCTCAATTGTTTTGATAAAGTTGGCTAGCAATTTATTTTACATGGATTCAGTTTCAAAACTTGATTTATACATGGTTTTTGATAAAAACACAGTGTAGGGCCGGCCCGGTGGCGCACTGCGCTAGTGTGCCTCTTGGGAAGCGCGGCGGCACTCCCGCTGAGGGTTCGGATCCCACATACAGACCGGTTCCCGCTCACTGGCTGAGTGAGGCGCGGGAGCGACACCGAGGGTTGCGATCCCGTTGCCGGTCCCAATCCGGTACGGGGGGCGACACTGAGGGTTGCGATCCATTGCTGGACACGGAAAAAGACAAAAAAAAAACACAGTGTAAAGCAGAATGAATTTGCCACATTCAAATGAGTAGAAAACTGTCTGCACCTACTGTTTTCAAAAATCTCAACATTAAATTGGTCTCTGTTCTTTGTGAACAATGTGGATGGCTGCAGAGATGCTGTAACAGTGCCTTATGCTACCTGACCAACATGAGTATCTGAATCTTCTTTCTGGGATTTTAAATCAGGTTATCACTTGGAGAAGAGATGATTTTCTAAGCTTCTGAAAATCTGTTAGGTCTCCCAGGAGGACTAGGATGCAGTTTCTCTCTCTAGATTAAAAATGTATGCTTGAGAGAGACTAGCAGTCTTTTCTGCCAGTACATCACTCTGTTGACCCAGCTGTACCTGGACAGATAGAGAATGTGTTCAGGATGATAGTGAAGTAGAATGTTGACAGACATCCTGTAGAACAAATCATATGTACTGCTTTGTTTGTGAGGGCCTGGCATTTTCCAGCTTCTTAGCTTTGGCTTGATTGACGATGCTGTCCTTTCCAGGCACGGAGTTTGTGGTCGTTGAAGACGTGTCCTGCTTCGATACCAATGCTATTATTTTGAAAGGCACCACAGTACTCACCTATAAGCCCCGCTTTGTTGATCGCCCCTTTTCAGGAAGTTTGTTTGGCATCGAGGTAAGAAGTTTGTGTTCATTACAACACTGCATGTTTGGCCCAAGAAAAACGAATCTGGAGGAGAACTTTACCTCCTAAACATTCATTAAGGGAAATAATTCATGGAATTGTAAGATTCTTGCTCTTTTCTCCTCTTTGTTTTCTCCTGAAATCTATGTATGAAGATACTCTAATGTGTGAGTTCAGCCCTCCGATGTTAGACTGTAAAAATGCAGAGGGACTCTTACACCCTCCCTTCCTCAAGGAATTCAAGGAGACTCTTTTAGTCCCTGTTACTCTGGCAGGCACCTTGTTATGTTCTCTAGTGCTGCAGGTCTAGTACTTGGTAAATTTGTGAAGGTGATGCAGTGGTTCTCATTTCTCTGCATCCTCTTCCCTGCATTGAGCCCTGTCCGGTGAAGAGCAAGAGATTTGGGGTAATGGAAACCTGTTTGTAAAGGTGTTAAGGATTTTATTTTATTATCCTTTTAGTAATATTTGATCCGTAAAAGGGCAGCTGTAGAGAGTCATGTGTAAGTTAAAGTAGTGCATCCCTAGTAGTGGTGCTTTAGACTCTGATATAATCTCATAAAGGAAATAATTTGCACTGGAGTGGCCTTTGTAGCCTGAACATTTCATTATGCAATATTAAGCAAAAACTGCTCTCTGTTTAAGCCATGGGTTGGAGACAGATTATGAGGTGTTCTTAATTCACTGATCTCAGCTAACATTCCTCTTGCTACAATGTTAGAATATTTGGTTAGAGTTCCTTTCCCTTTATGATTGAACTTTTCATGCCCTATTCCCTACAGTGGTAGTGCTCAGAGGTTGAAGGAATAAAACTTAGTTTCGTTGTCAGCAGTATATGGCACTATTTTGGGCAGTCAAAAACAGCTGAATAAAACCTGTAGAGATTTCACTTCTTGACCACTTGTTTCTCTCATGTAAAGAAACCCCAGTTTGAGAGGAAGGATTTGCATGCTGGTGTGATGTGAGTTGCTCATGAAATTGCAATTCGTCTGCTTTCCAAGCCTCCACAATGCCAGCTTTGAATGGAAAATCTTGGTGATTGATTAATGAACTGTCAGGTACAATTGGGTTTTGTGTAGCAGAAGCCCCTGAAGGAAAAAGGAAAATGAAACTTTTCTGCTCCAAAGTCTTAGAAAAACTACACGGCAAAATATTTGAGATTCCTGGAAACTCTTTTCATTCTTGTTCTTTAGGCAGCACAATCGCATCTGAATTTTAAGACCTCTTTGATCATTCGGGATAATTTATAAAGTATAGTGAGTTAATTTTGAATATTGCAAAGTACATTGGTGTCACCTATTTTTCAGTATCTCTAGGAAATACTCTGATAAAAGGGGAGTGGGACAAGTGGGACCAAAATGAGTGCTGTCATTTTTCCCCTATACTTTTCTTGAGCACCCAAAATAATTTGGTCCTAGAATAGAAGTCTTCCCTCCTTTCTCCCTCCCTTCCTTATCTCTCCCCACAGATATATTTATTTATTTTTAACATTTTATTGTAGAACATTTCAAACATATACAAAATAAACAAAATGATATAATGAAGCCTATGTACCTATCACCCAGCTTCAATAATTAATGTATTTATGTTTAATTGTGAAATTGTGACGGGAGAGAACATCACCTATCTCACCATACATAATTTCTGTTGACATTTTGGTGAGTTTCTATCCTTAAAAGAAGATCGTGGCATAATATTTTGATTGGATGTATTTTCACATAATCTGTGTTGTAACTATCTTCTTACATCCCATATGGCCTTTTAAATTGTCATTTTTAAATGACTGCAAAATACTTCATTGAGTAGATGTGATATAACCTCGGTTGCTCTTAATTTATTTTTACTGTTAAATAGTGGCGTCTTCTTACATCCCATATGGCCTTTTAAATTGTCATTTTTAAATGACTGCAAAATACTCCATTGAGTAGATGTGATATAACCTCGGTTGCTCTTAATTTATTTTTACTGTTAAATAGTGGCTCAGTGAAATTTTCTATATTTTGCATTATTTCCTTAGAATTATTGGATTAAAAAATGTTAGGCATTTAAGCCTTTAGGATGTGTTGCTAAACTGCTTTTTCCTGTGCTTGAACCACTGTGCATGTTCTTGGCGGTGGGAGAGTACCAGCCTCACTCTTCACAGTATTTATTTCAGCAGTTGTTATGGGTCTTGTGACAGCACAGGGCTGATTGCTTCTGAGAAAGTCTCTTTTTTGTGCTGATGCTTAGACACTTTGGAAATCAGATACTAATCCTTGTGTTTCATTCTCTAGGTGTTTTCATGCCGACTGGGGAATGAGCACGATACAGCTCTTTCAATTGTTGATCCAGTACAAATTCAAGTGGAGCTGGTAGGAAATTCTTCTTATCAGAATAGTTCAGGATTGATGGACGCATTCAATAGTGAAGATTTTCCACCTGTCTTAGAGGTAATGATGAAAATCTGTCTAATGCATTGATGCACTCTCAGACACTTGCCTGTGCAGGCACTCTTATTTACTCTGAGCCCAACAACATTTAGTTACTTCAGCAAATACAAAAGAAATATGATATTGTCTCTGAACTGGAAGGTCTTATAGTTATGGGGAGGATAAGACTTTCTAATTGTCTGGTATAATCTTGCAGTTCTATAAAAGTTTACAGAAAGCAGAACTCAACATAGGTAGGAATTTTAATTGTGAATGGAACTCAAGGTAAGGTGAGTCTGTGAGGAAGACTGGGATGTGAGTAGGCAGTGGGGAAGAGGGAGAACATTGTACGTGAAGAAGCCAAGTTAGGGTGGAAGCAGCAAACACAATCTGACCTGAACAAAGAGGTGTGTAGGGAAGGAAGGAGGATGTAAGGTGAAGCCAGGCAAGGAAGGCTTGAGAGTTTGGTGTATGATTTCTTTGATAGAAGGGGAACAATTAATCCATCAGAACCACAGGGGAGAGAAAGATAGAGAAAAGCCATTCTGATTTTCTGTGTTAGTGGTACCTCTCAGAAAAAAAGTAAGGGAATAAATAAAGTACCATATTCAGACATTCAAACAGTCATTCGGCGTCACTATTTTTACGGTGTTCTGAGGTTGGTGTCTGTGCTGCCTTTACCAGTAGTAGCTATGTTGCTAATCTCTGAGGAAGGCTGGATTTCAGGAAATAGTAGTGTTGAACTTGGCTCACTTAAGGTTATTTTTGAATGAAGAAGAGATAAATTTTGTTGGTTGTTGAGTTTGTTTCGGAGATTTAAAAATTTAAATGGATCCATGCAAAGTGGATTAACGACGTATTGCTAATAGGTGGTCTTGTCTCCTCCAGAGCCATTCTCTGATCCTCTGCTTTAATGATTAATATAGTGGTATGAAAATCATCCTGCTGAAATATTAATTGCTCTAGTAATTGTCCTGGCTTAGTATTTTTCATTTGGTACAATTTTGTGACTGTTTGACCTCATAGCTGATTAATCATACCCATGGTTATTAGTGCTTAATTTCAAAATCTTTGCAACCTTCTAAATGAGAAATTTTGTGTAGTATCTGTTGGACTTTTAGAACTTGAAATAGGAATTAGATCTGTAAGACATGTAGATGCAAAACCAAATGCAACATTAAAAAATTGTTACCTTTTAAATTTTCTTAGATTCAGTTGCAAGCCCTGGATATCAGACTCTCCTATAATGATGTTCAGCTGTTTCTTGCCATTGCAAAATCCATCCCAGAGCAAGCTAATGCCGCAGTGCCGGACTCACTGGCCTTGGAGGCAGGCAGTTACCTTTCAGGTGCACCTCGTGTTGGAGAGGAAATCAAAGAAGGGACAAGACATACCTTAGACCCTGTATTGGGTAGGTGTTCAACTAAAAAACCCAACTCAATCTTCCTAACAACCCTACTTCTTTTTAACTTTAAAAATTTTCTTTTGCAAAATTAAATTGTTCAGAATCTAATTGTATGTCATTAAATATAATTGTAAGTCATAAGTATGACTCTAATTTTTTTCTTATTTACAACAAAACATCTTAAGCCAACTTCTCTAGCTTACAGAGTTTTTCCTCTTACAATTTCTTCCAGAGTTATATGGATAATGCTAAAGTTTAGTTTTAAACTTTTGAGAGTTTACCTGCAAAGTTATGTGGATAATACCAAGTTTTAGTTTTTTTTTTCCCTTTTTGTCTTTTTTCGTGTCCAGCAACGGATCGCAACCCTCAATGTCGCGCCCGTACCGGACCAGGACCGGCAGCGGGATCGCAACCCTCAA